CCAGAGGGCTCTCGAGCGCCAGTGTGGAGGGTTCCCCGGGTATTGGGGCAGTGCGACCCTAGGCACATTCCTGCCCTTCAATAGCAGGACAGAGGGCAGCAATGCCAGGGTCACTCCATAGGTCCAGGGACCTGAGAGCCAAATGGAAATGCCCAAGAGCTCCTGCAACAGGACAAACTTCCACTCAGGGGTCAAACTGGCCTGGGTTCAAGTCCAGTTCTCATCTCCTCACTTGATGGCCTTGGACTAGTGACTCAACATCTCTGGGGTCTCAGTTTCCTCATCTGTAAAATAAGGATTACGAGAGACCGTCCCTTATAGCATCATTGAAAAGACTGACGTGCTGTTTATGAAACACCTGGCACGCAGCTGCCCGCCAGTAAGTGTTGGCTGTTAGTAAACACCCTCCACCAAGCTGACACTGTTACTCACTCTACACAGGTCAGCTGCTAACGTGGGGGAGACACTGTTCCCGCCCAGAGATTACTCAGGTGCATATTACAGGAGCTTTGGGGAGTTACACTTTTTGCCCTTCTAGATTTCTTATTTATAAATAAAGTTTTATTGAAACATGAATGCACTCATCTACTTACAACACTGTGACAGCAGTGTTGAGAGGTTGCAGCAGAGACCATATGGTCCACGAAGTCTAAAATATTAACTCTGGTCCATTACAGAAAAAGTTTGCCAACTCTTGGGGTAGACAACTAGTTAGTGTCTCCCATAAGTACCAGCAAAGGAAAGACATCAATTTTTTTTTCTGGAAAGATTATTTTCAAATTAACACCTCAATCCTCACAAGAAAAATCAGAACATTTTTTGCTCTGTTTACATTTATTTTACAGTTTAGTATTAATTTTTATTTTGAATTACATATGGGATGAGTGAGGAGCCTTATAAAGTTTTCAGGGCTTACGGCCAATGAAAGTCAGAAATTAGCCTTGATTTTCAGGTACTCCTACTGGTGGTGTGATTTCCATTCATTCCATAAATAGGTACTGAACATCTACTGTGCCAGGATTTGTGCTAGGTCCTGAATAAAGACAGGATGGGTGGACGGCTGGATAGATGGGTGGATAGGTGGCTAGATGGGTGGATAGGTGGATGGATGGATGGACGGGTGGGTGTGTGGGTGGGTGGGTGGGTGGGAGGATGGATGGATGGATGGGTGGGTGGGTGGATGGATGAATGGGTGGATAGATAGATATAGATAGGTAGGTAGGTAGGTAGGTAAATAGATAGATAGATAGATAGATATAGATGGATGATAGATGATAAACTGAGAGAGAAAGCAAGAGAGACAGAGGGATCTGACTAACAATGTGACACTTTCTCCATTTTGCCTACAGAATATGTATGTGAGAAGAAGGGAATGTAGACTACAGTGGGTATGTGGGTAAAGGTCTCGCTGCTGTAACAAAGAGACCCCTTCCTAACAGCATAGATACATAAAGAACCTAAGTTGATTTCCCTCTCACATAACAGTCTCAAGGTAGGCAGTCCACACAGGCGGGTGGCTCCACTCCACAAGATCAGAGACCCTGGCTCTTTCCATCATATTGCTCCCCCAGCGCCTAAGACATTGACCTGGTCTGCATGGTCTCGGCTGGGTTACAGACACATTTGGGTCCCAGGTTATGGGAAGAGGAGGAGAGAGCATGGAGGAGCACCCACCTACAGTTTGAAGACTTAGACCCAGAAATTAGCACACATCACCTCCCTGCACCATCTCCACTAAGTCACGTGGTTCAACGACCCTCAAGGGAGGCTGGGAAATGTGGTCTCTGGCTGGGGGTCAATTATTTTGGACGAATAAGAGAATGACTTTGGGAAGACTATTAGTAATATCCACCACATAGAGTAGGCTCATGAGTCCTTGTTGAACTCAGGGATGAGAGAATCGACATCTGTGTGTTCCCAGGAGCTCTCAGGCCCTACTGCTTCAGATCCACTGTCCCCTGCACCTGGGAGTTTAGTTCTGTTCACCCTGTCTTGTAAAAATCATCTCCTGATATCATTGGTGGCTCCCAGCCAAGGCAAGAAAATAGAACCACACCCATAAAGGGCCCTACTCCCTGGCTTATGACAGCCTTCCAGCTGTAACAGTGATGACCTTATGTTCCGCCTCACACCGAGTTCACAGGCTGGGTAGTTACTCCTGACAAGACCTAAAACTCCACCCTTTGTGGCTTAAACAATTCACATTACTTAAGAAAAATTCAGAAGCAAACAGTTTGTGCAAATTGCACAACTACTTAGGCCTTAGACCCATAAGAAATATCGCCACCTCCTCTTTCCTTCATAAGGAATAAAAAGGATTAGAATCTGGAAAACTTGCTAAACTGGCCCATTACAATCGTAATGCAAGGGAGTGAAGCTCATGGTGGAATTTCAGGTACAATGTTAGGGGAGAGATTGGAGACAGGGATACGCTTTGGTCTCCTGGCCCGTGTAGAGCCCAGACTGTGCCCCACACGTCCAGCGAGAACTGCCCCCAGGTCTCTCTCAGTGAAGTGCATCTGGCCTATAGACAGTATATATCTCTTCCCTCGGGGCTCAAGGTGGCAGCACATTCATCAGATAAATTAACTGCTGCTAATGTGCCAAGGAGAAGGGCCCTTCCAGGAAACCAGGGCCTCTCCGAGACAAGTTTGCCCTGTTTGAAATATCAGCCCTAAGAGAGAAGAAACTCCAACAGGCAGGATTTCTCTTAATAAACTGAAACCCACAACCTGCAACCCAAGCAGTGTTCAGATGACCAGCTTGGTGCCTTTAAGTCCTTCCTTCCCCAAAGGGGTAATTTGATCCCAAAGGTGATAAGGTGACCAGATAGCATCTTCCACCTGAAGACCAGCCCATAACTAGGAAGCAGGAAGTCCCAGCCCTGGAGGAAGGGGGGTGCAGGTGTCACAGAGCAAGGACTGGAGGGCTCATGGAGGAGGACAGGGCCTGGATCAGAGCTCACTGGGGAGTTGGCACGTCCCTCGGGTTGCTGGACAGTGCTCATTTCCCCCAGCACCCTTCCAGTTCCGGACAACCCACTAAGGGCTGTGTGAAGCTGGAGGGAGGGTTTGTGTAGTTAGCAGGTGAGACTTTAAATGGACTCCATAGGTTGTCCTTTTTTATTACGGAAATTTTCAAATGTACACAAAAGAAAGACCCCTATAACCCACGTGTACCTATGCCCAGCTTCAACAATTATCAACATTTTGCCTCTCTTGTTTTATCCATCTATCGACCTTTTTTTTCTTTTTGGTGAGTGTTCTGAGCATTTTAAAGCAAATCTCAGACATCTCACTGGTAAATTAAATGGTACTAATTAAATGGTGTTTGAAACGTTACAAGTAGATGGTCTTCCCTACTTTCAACCATACCAGCTGGAGTTTTGAGCAAGGAGGTTGAGACCCACTGGTCTAGCCCAGCCTCTAGTTTGACATGGAAGAGAACTCGGGAGAAGCGAGCCGCCCAACGTTGGTGCTAGAACGGGAACCAGGGAGAAGTCGGCCCTCCCGGCCGCCTGGTGGGTGACGGCCCCGGCTGGTGACCGACTTCCCAGGCCCGGTGCCGGGAGGGGGGGGGGAGCGGGGGACCCTCCACTCTGCCGGCGGGAAGAATCCGGGCTGTTCCCCGCACGCTCTCCTGGAAGCGCAGGCCGGTGCGCTGCCGGCCAGTGATGCAGCCGGGCCCCGTGACGCGCCGGCGGTGGTAGGAGAGCGGGGGATGTGGACGGACCGGGCAGGGTACCGGGGGCTGGGGTGGCCTTGGAAAGAGGAGGGGGCCTGCTCCCACGGCCGGCGGGGTAACCCGGAGCTGAGTTCAGGCTGGGACCCGGGTCACCCCGCCGCCGCCCCCGGGCCCCACGTGGGGAGCGGGCGGGAGAGGCTGGCGCGGAGCCCGCGCCCGGGGCGGGGAGCAGGAAGTCGTGTCCCGCGGGCGCGGCCGTGGCGCGGCGCTGCAGGTGCGGCGCACGGTGGCGCGGGCGGGCGGCCAGCGCAGAGCAGGAGGTGAGCTGGGGTCGCCTTCGCCGCCCGGGAAGGCCAGCCCGGGGGCCCGCGCTCGCGGCTAGGCCCGGCGTGAGGAGAGGGTTTCCGGCAGGAGAAGGGGTCCGGGGAGGGGGTGCTGCGCTGAGGCTCGGATCTGGCCGCCAGGAGGATCTCGAATGGGGGGCCCCGGCTGACAGATGGAGGTCCGGAAGGGACGGTGTGGCCTCCGGCCTCTGGGAGCGCTGCTGGGGGTCTCCGATTGGGGAGAAGGATGGGGGCGGTGGGAAAACTGCAACAAGGTTTGGAAAGTGAGCTGGGGCTAGGTAGAGGGACGCGGCGCTGGTAGGAGGGGTCCCCAGGAGCCAAGAGACGCGGGGCGGTGCCAAGGCCCTGGGGGCGCGGTCCGGCTTGGGGATGGGGGCGCGGAGTGGACCTGCAAATGAGCGCAGTCGGGCGTAGTTAGCCTTTGGAGGCGATGGAGCTGGGGGGGAGGGCCTACAGGAAGGGGGCCGAGGCTCCAGCACCCACAGGACCCTTCCGCGGCGGCCGAGATCCCCCCACCATCAGCGGCCGGGGAGAGCACAGGGGCTAGGAGGCGGCCAGGGCGACGCGAGCCTGCCTCCGAAGGCCGTTTCTCGCGGGCTGTGGCTTTAAGAATGACGCCAGGCGAGCGGGCTCTTTAAGGAGCGGGCCGGGGGCGTGTCAGGAAATGAGTCCTGGGCCCGCCTCGCCGAGGGGAGCGGCCTCGGATGTCGGGAGGCTTCCGGGCCCAGCAGGAGCCAGCGCTCGGAAGGCAACGCGCCGCGGGCATGCGCCGGCCCGGCCTCCTCCCGCGTCCTTCGGACCCCCACCCCGAGCACCTCTGATCTCCCCTGCACCGTTCTTTCCAGACCCCCCGCACGCCCTACTCCATTCAGCTCCCTGCATGCCTCCCCCTCTCTCTCTGCGAACCTCCCTCCATAGCAGCCCTGCCTCCCTCTCTGCACGACTTCCCCAGCTGTCCTCCGCCCGTGCCTAGCACCGTCGTCCTGCATGCCTCCCCTTACCCCTTCTCCTTCCATTCCTCTCCCCTCCCTTCTTCCTGAGACCCTTCCCCACTAGGCCCCAGCCCCTTCTCCCATGACAGGTCATCTCTGTCCAACCTTAGCCTGTCCCTCTCCCCTTCCCTGTGTCTTGTCTCACGAGCCCCTTCAGGGTGGGAGCAGGCTGTGGGGCTCACCCCAAAGCAGAACCTTTCCATCCGAGAGGACTCTAGGCCTCCCCCCATGTGACAGCTGAGGGCTGTGGCTTGCAGAAAGCAGACTGCTTAACGGCCCTGTACTCCAGGAAATCGGTTGTGGCTGTAGGGTGACCCGGCTCCTCTGCTGCCATGAACAGGGCCCCTCTGAAGCGGTCCAGGATCCTGCACATGGCACTGATGGGGGCTTCCGACCCCTCCGGAGAGGCCGAGGCCAGCGAGGAGAAGCCCTTTCTGCTGCGGGCCTTGCAGATTGCGCTGGTGGTCTCTCTCTACTGGGTCACCTCCATCTCCATGGTGTTCCTTAACAAATACCTGCTGGATAGCCCCTCCCTGCGCCTGGACACCCCCATCTTCGTCACCTTCTACCAGTGCCTGGTGACCACGCTGCTGTGCAAGGGGCTCAGCGCCCTGGCCGCCTTCTGCCCGGGCATCGTGAACTTCCCCAGCCTGCGCCTGGACCTCAGGGTGGCCCACAGCGTCCTGCCCCTGTCGGTGGTCTTCATCGGCATGATCACCTTCAATAACCTCTGCCTCAAGTACGTCGGCGTGGCCTTCTATAACGTGGGCCGCTCACTCACTACCGTCTTCAACGTCCTGCTCTCCTACCTGCTGCTCAAGCAGACCACCTCCTTCTATGCCTTGCTCACTTGCAGCGTCATCATCGGTGAGTGGCCAGCCAGGGCCACGGGGAATGGGGGCGGGGCATGGGGGCCGAAACTCCAAAGACCAACTCTGCCAGGCATCTTTGGACTTTATCTGTCCCGGCTCCCTTATTGCAACAGTCATATGAGGAAGAGCCTGAGGCCCAGAGAGAGCAAGTAACTTTCTTGAGGTCACCCAGCAAGTTAGGGGTCCAGCCAGGGCCCCTCAGAACAAGATGGGGTTATGTCACAGAGGGAAAACCAAGGCACAGAGTGGTTAAGTAATTTGTCAAAGATCACACAGCTAATAAGTGGCAGAGCTGGGATCTGATCTCGAGCAATCTGGCTCCATACGCTTGACCACCAAACTCTGTTGCTTCTCAAGAGCTCAGGTGTCCCAACTCCTCGTCCAGTGCTCTGTGTAGAGGATGGTGCATCTTTTAATATATACTGTCACCTCTGACCTTGCAGGCTCACGATAATGCCTGAGATAGTGGCAAGAGATAGGCTTTGAGAACTGTTGGCTGTCTTCCTAGCCTGGACCCTGAGAAAATAAGAATTGTTGATGGGGACATTGTGCTGATCATTCATATATAGCATCTCCTTTGTGCCCCAGAATTCCCCTGGGTGGTAGCATCACCGTAATCAATTCCATACACACAAGGAAACTGAGGCTCAGAGAGGTTAAGTTACTTGCCCAGGGCCACACAGCTAGGAGGTGGCCAGGCTGGGATGCACAGCCAGATTGGCCGGACTCCCCAGCCTATGCTTCTAACTTAATGTAAATTAATTCAAATTCAATGAAACTTTTAAAATTCAGTTACTCAGTTGCAGGTGTTGTAACCTGATTCTGTAGCCACATTCCAAGTGCTCAGTAACCACATGTGCCCAGTGGCTCCTGTACTGGGCCGCACAGATTATAGAACATTCTCATTGTCACAAAATGTTTTATCGCACCACGCTGGGTAAGAGCTCCCCCAGCATCCCGCTCCATCAGAGTCTTCCTGGGGCTCTGTCATCCAGGAGTGTGACCTGCCTTTGAACCTGTTCAGGTCTTTCCTGGTGCTGTAAGTTCGTCTCGGTTGACCCACATATTCTTGTCTGGTGTCTCAGAGTCCCAGGCCGAGTTGAACCGGTTGCTGGGGAGACGCCCGTGCCGTGCCACCTGTCCTAGAAAATGTTCTCCTCATTGAGCTACTGCTGGATCTAGGGCTGCTCAGTCTAGGTCCAAGTGGGAGAGGGGAGAAGGGCGGAGGCAGAGTGGGAGGAGCTAAGACCCCGGCAGATCTCTCTCAGCTGCTCCCCCTTTCCCCCAAGGGGAGCTGGTGCCGAGTCCTGCTGACCCTGTCAGGAGCTGGGGCTTCTGGGTGGGAGAATTCGCATGCAGGAAGGTGACGGCACTGGGGAAACCAGGCCCAAGTAGGAAAAGTAATGAAAGTAGCTGATGGGGAGATAGCTTCTGAGAAGGTGCATTCACTGGCCAGCCTGATGGGGCAGGGCCCGGAGGCTGGTACTCCATGCTGGCCCAGGACCTGGCCCCTCTCTGCAGTGTTTCCCCTTCCTTCCTCCTTGTGGGGGAAGATGGGTCTCAGCCTCCTCCTGCTTCCTGCCCCTGGGTCACACGGTACGTTTCAAAGCTCCTTCCGGCTGAAGGTCCCTCTAGGGTGTGGAACCTGGAGGTGGCAGTCCCTTCTGGACTTGGAAGGCAGCCAGCAGGAGGGCTGGGGGTGCACTGGCTAACTACTCCGGCGGCCCCAGAGCAGGTCAGTGGGGACCTGTTTGCAAAGGCTCTGCCTAGAAAGAATACGAGCGAGTGCCCACAGTGTTGTAGGTGCTTCTCTCCTGTAATCCTCACAACCACCTCCAGAACGACCTCCATTCATTCATTCATTTGCTCAGCAAATATGAATTGATGGCCAAGCACGTGCCAGAGACTGTGCCAAGCTTTGGGGATAGAAAGCTGGAGAAGGTAGACTTGCCTCCTACGCTCCTGGAGGGCATGGTGATTATGCATGACGGTAACTGAGTTCTGCTTGAGGAGTAAGAGCTGTGACTGGGACATAGAAGGTGCTGGGTGAACCCTGGCGAGAGCGGGGACAGGGGTGGGGAGAGAGGCCATCTAAGCAGGTCGTCTGGAGGAAGTACTAGATAGGTGCAAGGAAGGAGCGAGGAGAGAATGTTCTAGGCAGAAGAAAGAACACGTGCATTTCTTCATGGCTGGGCTGGAGTGGGATGCAACAGACATGAGGCTGCCCAAGTTAAGTGAGTCCAGAATATTTCCTGAGGGCAGAGAGGAGGCACGGAGGGGCTTTAAGCCAGGACGGGACCTGAGCAGATCTGTACTTTGGGAAGAATATTCTGGTTGCAAGGTGGAGAGTAGATTGGTTGGAGTTATAACACATGGGAGCTCAGAGAAGTTATGTAAACTTTCCCAGACTACCCAGCTTCTAAATGGCAGAGCCTGATTGGAGCCCAAATCTCTCTGCCACCAAAAACTTTTCCTACTCCCTCATGTTGCCTGATGCTGTGGTGGGGAATCCAACATGCGTAAGATCCAGCCCCTGCCTTCTGGAAGGTGGGGTTAGCTAAAGAGACTACACTGTCCCCATGGGCAGGTGCCTAGCGGCCCAGGGCAGGCAGGGGTCTTGAAGGAAAGAGCGAACAGGAAGATGTCCAGGTGCTGAGGGTATCAGGACAGCCTTCCCCCCCGGGGGAGGCCGGCTTGACCTTGAAGAATGAGTAGAATCTCCCAGGAAGGAGGAGGGGATTTCTGGTGGAGGAAACGGACAAGACACTGAGCCCAGCATGGGCAGCAGGGAGATGAGTGACGACTCGGGGCGATCATGGGACAGAGTTGGGGGTGACAGGGGTGCGGGAAGCCCAGGTGCCAGGCTGAGGAGTATCGACTTGATGGTGGGCACTGGGGAGCCATGGAGGCTCTGTGAGCAGGAGGTGACACAAGAGGAGAATCTCAGAAAGAGTGACTGTCCCAAAAGTCAGGCCACCAGTGAGTCTAATTCATTGTAGGCTCCCATCTTAGAGAAGAGGAAGACAGGGCTCCGAGACCTCAGGCTGCTTGCCCAAGGTCACCTTAACCACTAAGGACTCATCCTCCAGAACTCATTTCACATATTCTTTCCAGAGGCCCTGGGCCAGCGCGTCACCCAGTTGGGGGTTCCCATAGCACGTGTACTGTTTTATGGGCCTCGTTACGATTGTAATTAAAGCAGTAATTGGGAACTGAATCACTCATGTCTTTCTCGCCTGCGAGAAGTGAGCTCCATGCAGAAGGGTTCATGTCCTGGGTCACTTCCCCAGCTCTTGTCTGGTGCTTTGCACGTGGTGGGGACTTTGGATGTACTGATTGCAGGGAGGGTGGGGAGGATGGGATGGCGAGGGCGGCATTACGCAGCCTGGGGAATTCGGTGGCAAATTCTCTGTCCTTCTTCCTCCCTGTCCTCATCCCCCGCGCCCTTCTCCTCCTCTCCCCACTGCAGGTGGCTTCTGGCTTGGTGTGGACCAGGAGGGGGCCGAGGGCACCTTGTCTTGGATGGGCACCCTCTTCGGCGTGTTAGCCAGCCTCTGCGTCTCGCTCAACGCCATCTACACCAAGAAGGTGCTCCCGGCCGTGGACGGCAGCATCTGGCGCCTGACCTTCTACAACAACGCCAACGCCTGCGTCCTCTTCCTGCCCCTGCTCCTGCTGGTAGGCGAGCTCCAGGCCCTCCGCGACTTTCCCCAGCTGGCCAGCACCCACTTCTGGGGCGTGATGACCCTGGGCGGCCTGTTTGGCTTCGCCATCGGCTACGTGACGGGGCTGCAGATCAAGTTCACCAGTCCCCTGACCCACAATGTGTCCGGCACGGCCAAAGCCTGTGCCCAGACGGTGCTGGCTGTCCTCTGCTACGAGGAGACCAAGAGCTTCCTCTGGTGGACGAGCAACATGATGGTGCTGGGGGGCTCCTCTGCCTACACCTGGGTCAGGGGCTGGGAGATGAAGAAGATTCAGGAGGAGCCCAGCCCCAAAGAGGACGAGAAGAGCAGCATGGGGGTGTGAGCTCCCCCGGGGACCCTGGGATGGCCCAGCGGGGAGAACGCCCAGGGTGGGGCCGGAACAGCAGTGAAGGCATCTCTCCAGACCCAGACAGGGTGGCCTGGAGGGGGAATTGTTTACAGACTTGACCGGAATCTGGTGGTCGAAATGGAACCAGCGTTTTCAAGTTGTGTCAGAAAGTTGCCAAACCTGTCTCAACTCCCTTTCCTATTTCTGGGTTTTTGTCCTCCCCTAGGAAGGAGAGAGACCCCCTGGGAATAGCCGGTTAGGTTCTCTGGAAAAGCACTAGCTCTCAGGGAGCAAGGCCTTCTACCTCCATGTGACCCCTGGGGTTGGGGACAGGCCACAACCTTTAAGGGACAGTATTGGCAAAGCCAGTACATCTTCACTTATCCTCAGGGGGAATGGGGGTAACCCACCACAGGCCAGCTGAAGGGGTTTGGGAAACCTCATATCTGGGTCCCAGGGCAGGCCGCGTAGCTTTGGCCCCACAAGCCAGCCTTCCTTTGGAGGAGAGTGTGGGCTGGGCTGAGGGAGGAAATGGACAAGTGTTCTCTCTTCTCGGTGCCGAGACCAGCAGGCCCCACGGAAGGGGGTGAAGGATCACTTGTACCTGAGCCCGGCCCTGGCACCCCAGGGGCTGCTGGGAAGTGGCCTGGGAATGGGGTACATCATAGGAAAGTGCCCTTTTCCCACCATCTGCACCCTGTATTTCCAGCTCTTGAACATGGGGACCCACACATCTTTTACAGCTTAAGCAGGGTCATCAGCACCCCCCCCATCCCTGACACCGGTTTTACCTGCCTCCCTCCTCTGCCTTTGAGGGGCAAGTGCCCCTTGGTCTCCCTACCCCTGGCACAGCTGCCTGGCCAGGTAGTGACCTCCTGGAAGTGGAGCCAGGGAGCAGCCTCTGTTCCTCCCAACCCTCCCTCCCCCAGAGCTTCATCCCCAGCAGGGTTGATGGAGCAAGCGACCCGGCTCAGAGCCGTCTGCCTCAGCTGCGCCCCCAGATTCAGAGCCCTGCGTGGCAGAGGTTGTCAGCTGATTCTGATGAAGGAGATAAACTAGCACTTACATTCTTCTTCCCTGAAGTTAGGGCTGAAAGGACCTTCTTGGCCCCTCAACAGACCCCCTGGCTCGGGGTGGCTTCCACAACCCTGTCCCTTCTGCTGAGCATTCTGTTCCCCCCATCCTGGGGTAATTCCTGATGTTTTTAGTCCCCGTAGGGAGAGGCTGGGGGGGTGTGGGTCTTCTCACCGCCACCCCCATCCAGACCCCCCACAATCCCAAGTGGTTTCTAATGAAAACTAATGAAGTTGGTGGGGCCTGATGCCCTGAACTGTGTGTGATTTAATTAAAATCAGAGCAAGACCTCCTGTATGTGTGGAGTGAGGGAAGGAAGGGCAGGCAGGGTGTGGACGGGACGCATGAACAAGTCCCCGTGGAGAAGGGGCGGGTCTGGAAAGGGCAGGAACGCGCGTGCCTACCCTCACCGAACTGGGGGTCAAGCAGAGCAGCCCTTCTAAGAGCCTGTTCTCCCGCAGGGGCGAGGGGGCGATCCACATAACAAGCTCCCTCCTAGGAGGCGGGAGGCGGGTGACCTCAAGTTTCATGTTAGTAACAGCTGCCATTTCCTGGGCACGTGCTGGAGGCTGGACGCAGTGCTGGGTGCTCTGCATCCATCATTCGTCGTCCCAACCCCCCACGCCCTGTGAGGTGGGCACCATCACTGATCCGCCATTTTACAGATAAAGACACTGAGGTTCCGAGAGAAACACAGGAAGGAAGAGGCAGCATTAGGATTCAGACAAAGGTCTCTACCTTCAGAGCATAGGTACTTAACCACAGTGCCCTTAACTATCCCCAGCCCTCTTTGAGCACCTACTGTGTGCCAGGCACTGTCGGAGGTCATGTTAACATGAAGACCCAAATCTGCTTGGAGGGGCTCACATGTAAACACAGGTCAAGGCCCTGTGACAGGTGCAATAATGGAAATAGTAACATACTGCCCTGAGGTCTCAGAAGATGGGGAGACCAACTCTGGGGGGATCAGCCAAGTCTTCACAAGGGCCAGGATGTTAGAACTGAGTCTTACTGGGCTAGCAGGGGCTCCAGGACGAAGGGCAGACCAGCTGAGGGAACAAGGTTAAGCCCAGGGCAAAGCACATTTGGGGACTGGTGAGGTTTGGGGAAGACTAGAACAGGGAGGAGAGCCGTGGTGTGAAGGGCCTTGAATGCCGTGGTCAATCTGGACTTGATCCTATAGATTGTTAAGTCGTGGTCAGATCCCTTATACAGAAGGGACTTGATCATTTCTGCATCCTTCGTGTATGATCAGAAAATTGAGACAACATGCTTACTGTAATTTGCAGTTTCTTAGACAAGATTCAAGAGAAACCTAAATTTTAACTTTTTACCCAAAATTTAAAAATGCAGACAAAAAGATGTGTGGCTTCTGGCTTCAACTCAAATATCAAATTAATTCATAAGCTAAAAAAAATTCAGGGGGCCCCAACTGGCAGAACACAACTGAACAGCCCACCCCACTATGCAACACCCCACACACAGGCACAAAGACGTGCAGTGAGTGTAGATGGGTTTGGATCCACACACTTTCAGACCCCAATTCTGATGTAGATGAAGCCCGGGGAACAGCTGATCCAGCCTTCCAGCGTCCCAGCCTGCTCCCACAGTCAGCACCACCACCCCCAGCTCATCTCTATGGTATTTAAAGGTGCCAAGACCTCCTCCAGGAATGTTTCTCCTGCAAGAAAGCAGAAGCGATGCTCCTTCCCCGCTTCTCTCTTGTCCCCAAAGGCAGGGATGTGGAAGTCAGGCTTCCCAGTAAAAAAACCAGTGGGCGAACATGGAGAATTTAGGAACAATGACCTGGCCTGACGCTGCCACACACCTCACCTTCCTCACACATCGCTCTCTGCTTTTGAAGAGCACTTGACCAGGAGTCAGGAGACCTGGGTTCCACTTCTTAGAAGCTAGGAGGCCTCAGGCAAGTCCCCTAACCTTTCCGGGCCTCACTTTTCCTATCTGAGATAAGGGGATAATCCTTGCCCTTCCTGCCACACAACATGGCTGTGAATTAATGCTCAGCATGGTTCCAGCACACAGTGAGCTATTGCTCTCATGAGCATCAACAAACAACAGTCTCTTTATTGAGTGCCAACTCCGCACCAAGCACTAGGGAAACAAACTGCGGACAAGACACGAAAAACAAGCAAACCATCAAATAAGGGCAATGTGGTGAGGACAACGAAGGAAACAAGCCAAAGGCCAAAATGGAGAATTTCAGAAGGGCCTCTTCTCTGGAGAGTGTTAACCTACAGAAACAGAAACCAGTTTAAGAGGCAAAGCGTTTATTTGGGATCAAAGAATTCTAATTCGAGAGCACAGATTCAGGCAGAAACCCAACGGGAGAGGGGCTTAGGGTTTCTACGGGAAGAGGGAGGGTGAGGTGAGTTGTGTTAAGGATGAGTTCATTGGTGTTAGAGGAGGTGAGGCTAGATTTGTACTTCATAGATTGGCCTGAGGTTTGATCATCAGGCAAAAGGCTAGACTTGTACTACATTGATTGGTTAGCAGTTGGTCATCAGCAAAGTTGAATTTCATCATCCTTACAGACAGTATATTCTTGTCCTTACCGACTTCTTGGAACGTGGTGGTTTGGTCCAGTTTGGAAGATAAATAAGACCTGCAAGGCAATTCCTCTGAAACGGCTGCTCTGGCTCTATTTTAATATGGCTCCACGCATGTCATCTTTCACAACAGTCCGAGAAGACCTCTCTATGAGCACAACATTTAACCTCAAACCCAAATGATGGGAAGGAGCCAGCCATGGGAAGAGCTAGAGAGAGGGCGTTCCAGGCAGAGGTTACAGCCCATGCAAAGGCCCTGAGGAGGGCAAAGAGTTGGGTGTGGTCGAGGACCAGAGAGAAGGCCAGGGTGGCAGGAGCAGAGCTGGGGAACCTAACTGGCTCTTCCCATGGGGGTCCTTCCTCCCAGGGAGAAGAAAATCCCAGAAAAAGGAAAGAGGGTAGAGACAGATTTGGCCACTTTCTGACATTACATGGAAACATTGGTTCCTTTTGGATCCACTCACCATGGGGAGGAGCGGAAAGAGAGGAGGTCAGAGGTCAAGTTTCAGCCCAGGTGGGGGGCGAGGGCACCATCTTGACCACAGCAAGGGGGCTAGATTTATTCTCAGTGCCACTGAGGGCACCATACTTGATTTACATCTTAAGAAGATCCCTCTGGCTGTTGTGAGGAGAATGACTTGGCTAAATCACTTAACCTCTCTGATCCTTTTCCTCATCTGAAAGAGAAGAAAGTTGTTCTGATTTAAGAGATAACATGATGATTTAAGGAGTCAACGTGCATGGAGTTTAGTTGCTACTTGTGAAAACTGAGCCCCAACGGGTCAAATGACTTGCCCAGCACACCAAAGACAAAATAGAGTGTGGCACTCAGCTCTCCTGGCCCTCCTGTCTGATGTGTTTCCCACAGTACTGCTGGGAGGGGAAGCTGCCTCCCCACATGGAGCCCTCCCCCAGCCCTGCCCCCAACGAAAACCTTGGCTCAGTGAAAGGGCTAAATTTAGTACCTGAAACTGGCTGAATTGGGAACAGCAGAGCCTGCTGCGAGGCAGCACCTGGTCCAGGTATGCCGGGAGCTTAGACGGAGGAAGGCTGTGTGTGGGTGTGGGGGAGGGAAAAGAGGGGGTACTGGTGTGGGGCGACAGCAGGCTGGCAGGCTGTCACTGAGCACCCAGTGGGGAATTTATAACATTAGAGCTGGGAATGAGTTTGGAAATGGGGGTCCAGCCCCATATTCCACAGACAAGCCTGAGGCTGGGAGAGCATGACTGACTTGCCCAAGGTCACAGCATGATGGGGCAGAACCCAGACCCCTCCTCCCAGGCCAGTGGACTCTCCACTGAGCATCATCACCATAATTTTTTTAAATAATAATTACTGTTATTATTATTATCATTATTATTACTAACATTATTGGATACTCGCCGCATGCCAGCTGCTGTTCTAAGCACTTCGTGTGTATTAACATCTGAGACAGGGATGATTAACATCCTCATTTCACAGACGAGGAAACCGAGGCGTAGAGAAGTTAGCCCCATGCCCCAAATTACACAGCTGGGTTCCCTCTCTGCACACTGAGAGGCTGAATAT